ACACCAAACGCATGAGCAGTATTCAAGCACAGGGTCATTAAATTCCTTGGACCATCGTTTAATGAATTCAAGTAATCCCTTGGCCTTAATGACAATACTAGATATGTGAAGGTTAAAGTTCAATTTGGAATTAAAAAGAACTCCAAGGTCTTCAACAGTCGATATACGTTGCAATGGCACATTGTCAATCATATACGTCCCTAAATAAGGCAAGGTTCGGTGAAATGTCATGAACTTACATTAAGAGCAATTGAGGTGCAAGTGGCTAGCTAAGCACCAAAATTGCATGCAGTTCAGATCATCCTGCAGGCGATGAAAATGAGAAGGGTCTTTGTAAGTCAGAATAAGTTTCACATCATCAGCATACATAAGAATATGAGAGTGTGACAAGATAGATGGAAGGTCATTAATAAATAATGTAAAAAGTAAGGGGCCGAGATGCCTACTTTGAGGCACACCTGATGATGCAAACACAGGCTTAGAAATGTACGACCTAAGCAAGATCCGTTGGAATCTGTCTTTAAGATAAGACGACTTAGCTTAAAGAGCAGAAGATCATGGTTCACAGAGTCAAATGCTTTACTGAAGTCAGTGTAAACGACATCAGTCTGAATTTTTAGAGTAAATGCTTGATTTACCAAGGAAGTAAATTCCAGCGAATTGGTAGTAGTAGACCGTCTCCTTATGACACCATGTTGAGCCGGATATATGACAGATTTACAGAGGTGCTGCAAAGTGCTGCAAACGATTTTTATACTCTGTACATGAAATGTACAGAAGTATATTAGGTTTGCGGCAGCTGAAAAATGTAACAGGCAAAAGGAGGCGTGGCAGACCCCACAAAGTATATATATTCTTGATCAGCATGACGAGACGAGTCGATCTAGCTCTGTCTGTCTGTCTGTCCGTCTGTCCGTCCGTATGAACACCTGGATCTCAGAGACTATAAGAGATAGAGACACCAAATTTTCCACAAAGATGCCTTATGTGTGTATTCTATACGAGTCTGTTTTATTTTTTTGATTTTCCCCCCCACTTCCCCCCTATGGGGGTTTTCCCGATTTTCCATTCGTATAATCGCCTATATCTCGGAGACTATAAGACATAGGAACACCAAATTTTAGTCCAAGATGCCTTATGTGAATACGCAGAAAATGTGTATTTTGGAATTTTCCTCCCTCCCCCCTCTCCCCCGCAAATGCGATTTTCTCAAACTCCAGTAATTCTTGGAATTTCGAACTAAAGTTTTGCAAATGCCCCCAGTTAGTTATTATGTGTCCGTATGCCAAGTTTCACTATGATAGACCGATTTAACAAGAAGTCATAAATATATTTGCCAACGGCCGTTGATGCTGGTGCTTTGGTTGACTGCACACATGTTTACACAGACACGAATTGATGCGAATAGGCATACATAGACTCACACAGACGCAATTGCTATATAAATGTACAATTATAAGCCCTTTACGTGAGTTCGAATACCGAGAAAGGTAAAATCGATTTTCTTAATTTTTTTATTTTATATAATTATTGTAAACATATGTACAGAGTTTTTCAAAGTCGGGACACCCGACTTTAGATTTTTTACATGTTTCAAATAATTACGGTATGGCAGACAACTTTGCAATTCCTCTGTTGTTTGAAATATCAGACTTACCACCCTATTTATGAATAGGAATAATAAAAGATTCTCTCCAAATAGTTGGAAAGATTGAGGAACCCAGTGACAGATTAAAGATTTTAAGTAATGGCTGTAAAAGGGAACTAGAACACTCCTTGAGAACACAACTAGGAATGTTGTCTGCTCCAGGACAGTATGAAGATTTTAAAGATTTGATAGCAGAAAGTAGACCGCTATCAGTAATTATGGGAGCGTAAATAGTGTGGGAAGATGAAATGCTATAAGGATAAGAGGTACTACTAATAAAGACAGGGGAATAAGTTCACTGGAAGACACTGGCATGAATTAAGAAGGACAAAGTTCGATTTCGCTATAGAGTATTTATATAAGTCCGACTGCTTATACTTTTTAAAGCATCTAGATTTAACATTTTTTAAATTTGAAAGTCTTGGTGAAAACCAAGGAGATTTTGATGACAAAGACGATATGACACTATTTGGGATACAGAAGACATCAAAGAGAGCATTAATAGTGTCATAGAAAAACTTGACGACTATGTTGATATCAACCGCACTATACAAAAAGGACAAATTAGTTGTTAAAATAAGTTCGTTAAGCACAGAAAAGAAAGGTCCAAAAGGCAATCCAAAAATTCATGTTCTGCTGAGGGCACCAAATAATTGGACTCATTGAAAAATGACCATTCTATGTTAGGCAAATTAAAATCACCTAGCACAATAAACGCATCTCTGTCACGGAGATGAGTGGAAATTGCTTTAATACAAGTTATATGTTGCATATAAACATGAATATTGGAAGAGGGAGGTATATACGAGCAAGTGATGTAAAGAACAAAAGACGGAAAAGTTACTTTAACAGCAAAAAATTCAACATCATTTGGCACATCACCATCAATGATTTCCGACCGAAGGTTGGATTTGACTGCAATCAGTACCCCTCCACCTCGACGACTCGGACGATCATGACGAAAAATACAAATGTCATCTGATAAAATTTCATTATCAGAAATCGAAAAGTTTAACCACGTTTTTGAAAACGCAATAATATTAGAATCAAAAGAAAAACTGCTCAGAAATAAATTCCCGAGCTTGGACAAAAGACCCCTAACATTCTGATTCAGAATATTAAGCGAGAAAGGTCGCGAGTCTAGTTTTTTGAAGACATACTTACTTCATTATCAACAAAAAACAAGTAAAAAAGCTAAAGTCGGGTGTCCCGACTTTGAAATACTCTGTACAATGTTTACAATAATTATAGAAAATAAAACAAGATAGAACGCTACAGTCGAGCAAGCCCGACAGTAAAATAGCCTGTACTCTCCACAAAAAAAGAAAAATTAAAAAAAAAAAAATTTAAAAAAAATTAAATTATTAAAAAAAATTAATGAATTAATTAATTAAATTAAATTAGAATATATGTTTATGTTTAGTTTTAACAGCATACATTTACATCACGTACCTATGCGTGTTTATATGCGTGTATGTATGCAGCACAAAGTTGAACCAAAGCAGCAACAACAACAACAGCTGCGGGCAGCGCTGCCGACAGAGGCAGCGCATGAGCAGCGATTTTACTTATGGCTATAACTTTCTTCAGAATTGACCTATCATGATGAAATTTGGCACACGGACACATTAGTACTAACTGGATGTATCTACCAAAATTGATTTCAAAATTCCGAGAATTACGGAAGTTATAAGAAAAAACACGAATTGCGGGGGAGTGGGGGGGTGCATCGAAAAAAAACTCAAACTCGTACTTTCTCGGTCTTAGGAGAATATGGAAACCAAGTTTGGTTATTCTAGCTCTTATACTTTCTGAGATCCTTGCGTTCATACGGACAGACGGACAGACGGACAGACAGACGGACAGACGGACAGACGGACGGACGGACAGGGCTATATCGACTCGGCTTCTCATCCTGATCAAGAATATATATACTTTGTGGGGTCTGCCACGCCTCCTTCTGTGTGTTACATACATGCGCACAAAACTAGTATAGCATTGCACCCTTTGGGTACAGGCTATAAAAAATTAAGAAAATAAAAAAAAAAATTTGATCGAAGTTACCTCTCTCGGTATTTGAACTAACGTAAAGGGTTTATAATTGCACATTTACATAGCAATTGCGTCTGTGTGAGTGTATGTATGCCTATGCGCATCTATTCGTGTCTGTGTAAGCATTTTCGCAGTCAACCAAACAGCAACATCAACAACAGCGCTGCTGCAGCGCTTGAGCAGCGCTGCAGCAGCAAATATATTTATGGCTATAACTTCTTGGTAATGGTCTATCATAGTGAAACTTGGCATACGGACACATAATAACCAACTGGGGGTATTTCCAAAATTATAATAATATATAATTTAGTTAGTTTATATAATTTAGTTCGAAATTCCAAGAATTACGGGAGTTACGATTTGCTGGGTAGAGGGGGGAGGGAGGACAATTCCAAAATACACATTTTCTGCGTATTCACATAAGGCATCTGGGACTAAAATGTGGTGTTCCTAGGTCTTATAGTCTCCGAGATATAGGCGATTATACGAATGGAAAATCGGGAAAACCCCCATTGGGGGAAGTGGGGGGGAAAATCAAAAAAATAAAACAAACTCGTATAGAATACACTCATAAGGCATCTTTGTGGAAAATTTGGTGTCTCTATCTCTTATAGTCTCTGAGATCCAGGTGTTCATACGGACGGACAGACGGACAGACAGACAGACAGAGCTAGATCGACTCGTCTCGTCATGCTGATCAAGAATATATATACTTTGTGGGGTCTGCCACGCCTCCTTTTGCCTGTTACATTTTTCAGCTCCCGCAAACCTAATATACTTCTGTACATACATAATAAGATACATGCATAGTAAAATATCTATGAAATATAAATTTAATGTTTCATAATCAAATTTTACTCTGTTAAGGGTAATATTTAATTCGTTTGGTGTATGTACATACTTACTCAGCTTGGTGATCGTTGAGCTCAATCGACGCACAGTGGGGCCTTCGGACTTTTTTCGTTGCAAAAATCATATCTTCTGAACGGCTGAAGCAATTTTCGTCATTCAAATTTTGTTTGAAAGAAAAATTCTTAAGCTTTGAAACAAGTCATAGCGCATTGTGCTGTGATTTCTAGGAGCTGCGCAATGTGTGCTCAAAGTTGGATTTTGTTGCCAGTGCAATATTTGCCTAATCAAACTAATAAAAAACATTTAATGATACAATTATTTTCAGTTATGTTATATTTTTAGTTTTTAACAAATTAAAAATTGAACAAAAAATTGTTTAAATATTACAAATTTTTTTTTAATTTAAAAATATTGAAAATTTTTTTTACATAACGTATTTCATGGACAGCGCCCCCGAGAAGTGATCCGTAGCTATGGCTTCTGTGACATCGACAAGCTTTCTTTTTCTTGTAAAATCCGAGCATTCTTCAATGGATTTCGTTGGTCTTCCTCTGGCTCGTCCAGTTGATGTAGAGGGTACATCGTCCATTGATGTATCCAAGTACGTAGTCGTTGATAGCCAGATTTCATATTTTAAATCAAATTTCTGCTTGCTATATCCTACGCTTATCCATTTCTGTTTGATTTTAGAATAAATTAATGTTAAATAAAAATCACTTTTAAGGTATTTAAACGTAAATTATATTGAAAAATACTATTCACTGCTAGTTAGACACAACTGATTGCTTTTTAAGTCAAAATTCGACTATTACGCTGCACCAAAAATATTGGCAATATATACCATTTCTAAACGCATACCTAAGATAATAAACTAAAACCTCTTTTTGCCTGTTCAAATGCTTTAAAGCAAAGAAATTACAATTCATGAAAGGGTCAAAAAGATTGCAAGACCTTCACCTGATATTGTAAATTACACTACCTGTAATAAATATTATGCATAATTTTGGTTGCACAATATTAAATGTGGATCAAATAGGACCGCTTAGGTATATTTTTGTATCCATAATGCTAAATACAATGTTCCTAATAGCCGTTACAGCGAATCTACCTGCAATGCATTATTCTTCTTATACCCGCGGCAGCGCCTTTTTCGCTGATTTTTCCGAAGTTGCAGCACTCTTTTTGCTCTGGTGCACACCGGCGGATCCGGGCGGATGAAAGTTTTATTGCGTTAGGTAAACGAATATTTAAGGAACATATTTTGAAAATATGGGCGAGGTACTTTTGGGTACTTTTTTTTTATTTTCCATCAAAGTTGAAAAACACCCTAAAAATAGGTAGTTTAAAAAATAACGTTTTCTAGATAACTACAAATACGAAAGACATAGTTTTTATTAAATAATGCATAAAATTAATTCATCTAGCAATACAAATCAAAACATCAATGATTCGTTTCATAACTTAGCTAATATTATACCTGAAAGATGAAGTATTTGCATCAAATTGAATTAATTGTTGCGAGCTTAAAAAAGGGTCGACTTTGAGTGCACATATGTCCTAAACTATAATTCCGATTTTTTTGAGAGTAAGATTTTCGTAATCTTTGCAAAAAAAACTATTAGACACGTTTATTCATTACTCCCAAAGCGTTCATGAAAATTTTGATTTTCGCAAGCTGTTTCGGCCTAAGGCCCCACTGTGCGACGACGCAGCTAACATTACCACAGACATTTGCCTTTATAAATTGTTAATTTGCTTTAGAAATTCAATAAATTTTTATATTTATATATTCCTAATGCATGAATATCATGGTTAACTAATTGGATTTATATGGCCTTGCATATGAAAGCAAGTGGATGGTTTGTACATGTTTTTGTTGTTTTTAAAGAAAAGAAAAAAGAAAATTAAGTATACATTTTAAACTAATCGATTATCATAGATTTTGTAAATTTTAATTGAAATATTTAATCAAATAAATGTGCTAGATTGAGCTATTTAACTATTATTGAATATGCAAACGTCGTAGTAAGACGAACGTTTGTATTATGCAATCACATTAAGTGTCACAGAAAACCGAAGAAAATGGCCAAAGTTAATAAAATTTAAATGAACATAGGCCCGTTATTCAAAAGAACGTTTCACTATCTGTACTATTTCTTGCGAATTTGCTGGTTTAGTCACAGGCATTTCTGGTGGTATTGCCGAGAAAGTAAAGTTGTGTAGCTGCTGGATCTGCGGTGCGGTGTAATCAAAATTGTTAAGGTTGTTGCGTTGTTTCAGCACGGGATTATAGCCGCAGCAGGTTGGCCCTGAGCACCATACCTGCCGCTCGGAGTTATTAAACTCGATCTCTAAACAAAAAAATGTCTTTAGAAACAGAACGAAGCTAACCATATTGATTTACCTGGTGTAAATGTAACTCCGTTAATAAATTAAACAATCTTTCTAGCGAAGAAAAAGGGTAGAATATTAATCCGCAGAAATCCAAGCAATCTCGAAATCACTTTATAAAATTGTATGCTCTTTTGGCAGTAATAATTAATAAATGTTGCACGTGGGCACTTTACAAAAATTTTAATAGAGATTTGGCAAGAAGTCTGACCGTCCACATTCAGCCGATCTCAACAATGAATCTAATGCTCAGCTTAACCTTATTAAAAGGCTTTCGAAGGCCACGTGCTTCCACGTATGCAGACCTTGAGAGTAATAAGCTCTTATCCAAGGTGACCGAAGAGATCAGAAGAGTTGATTAGGAGAGCGAAAACGGAGTTTTGTTTTCTTCTTCTTGTTTTCTTATCTTCTTTGTCTCCAAATACACTCGAGGACAAAATAAATGTTCTAGTCTAAACTGAATACCACAATTCTCATGGCCTCTTATCCTTAGATCAATGCAACACGAGACATTTCGCCCAATTCCCCCTATGGAGGTTTTCCCGATTTTCCATTCGTATAATCACCTATATTTCGGAGACTATAAGACCTAGGAACACCATATTGTAGCGTAAATCGCTCTTTGGCCGAGCGGTGACCAGCGATTCGCTACGCAAAACAATAGCGGGAAGGTGTGTAAACCAGCAGGGACCGGCAGCGTGGCGGCTGGCGAAGTGGCCCCAGCAATAAATCTGGATCACGTAGGCGCTCGTGGCGCGCGTCGAGAAGGGCCCACTTCGAAAGAATTAACAGCAGCGCCAAATAAAATAATTGCGCCGTTCAAGCTTAAGCATTAATTTACTTCACTTTATTAGCCTTCAATAGCGATCAAAACAGGCAGATGGCCCAATTTAAATTGCACATGGAGATGCTTAAATGATCCGCTTCAGCGGCGAACACAACCGAGTCGGTCCAGAGCACACCAGGAAGAGAGCACCTCCTTAAAGTTAGTTGCGGTTGAAGCCTTGAAGTTGGCTGCGGCAGTGTGGATCGTGTAAAAACAGCTGTTGGTAGGTGGCGCAACTGGGCGTATCGATAAACAAAAATTGGTAATTGAGCGCCAAGCTCGCGATTTGAACAATGCACTACCAATTTGCATTACAATATTTTAGTCCAAGATGCATTTTGTTAATACGCAGAAAATGGAATTTTCCTCCGTCCTCAATGTTCGCAGCTGTTGTTGTTGTTGCTGCTTTGCACAGACACACAAACATGCATAGACACGCATTGACGCAATTCGTATATTATGGTACACTTATACACGCTTTACGTGAGTTCGAACACCAAAGAAGGTACAATTTATTTTTAATTTTCCTAATTATTTAAATTCCTATATTTATTCCACACATATGCACACGTGCGGTAGTGCGGTTGTGGCCCTGCTGCTTCAGTGGACCCTCGTGGTCTAGAAGGTGCGAGTAACACCGGTTGTCCTGAGATCCGGTTGCGCATGAGTGAAACGACACAGGACGTTTGGTTTAGTTTCGTAATTAATAGCGAGCTGCACCAGAATCCTGACCCGGATGGTGAATGCTTGCAGTGGCCAAGGATACCGGATGGCAATCCTTGATCACCGGTTCCCGTATGGACCCAAAGTAACAGGTCGTTCGTTGATAACTTGCATACTGACTTTATTCTTACAATTCATGGCTTATATAGCCATGCTTAAAACTAGCTTATGATTATTTACATTTACCGTCTCGATGTGTTGGCGGTTTCATAATAATGATGTGCAAGCAGTGCACGAAACTAGGATCTACATATATATCTGATTGTTGCTCTTATGCTGGGGTAGCAGAATAAATGTGTCTTAATCTTATTGTTATTGCTTATGTTGGCTGGGAAATGTCAATGGACCTGTAATTCGTGCAAACTATGGTGCCAATATTATCTATGCTAAAACAATATGGGTGTATAGGTTTATGTGTACTTATATGTATATTATCTGTTACCAAACCATTTTATTGAATGCCTGTTTCGTCGCGTTAATGAGATGTCATATACTCATTCGCGTCGCATTTGGAATTTTGCGCAATGACGGGGTGTGCTTCCATTAATTGGACGAAAATGGGATCCTGCTGTGGCGACCTTTTTTTTCCCTGCAAAATCTAGCATTTGCAATTTCCTCACATTTTTTTGCTGGTCCGTATTGTGTATTTAAATGACAATTTATTACCATTCAAATTTTCGCTTAGAAACCGAACTGCCCACTCTTCAAGACAAAAATTGTCGCTAAGTTTGTTTAATTACTACACAGTTATTTGGTACTTATTTTAAACAAGAATTGCGTCAATTATATATTTTTATAGCCTGTACCCAAAGGGTAAAAGCTCTGCCCGCAGCGCTGCTCGCAGCTCTTGTTGTTGTTGCTGCATTGGTTCAACTTTGTGCTGCATACATACACGCATATAAACATGCATAGGTACGTGATGTAAATGTATGCTGTTAGAACTGAACACAAACATGTCTTCTATGTATGTATTAAATAAATTTTCTTTATTAATATAATTAATTAATTAAATTTTTATAGCCTGTACCCAAAGGGTGAAAGGCTATACTAGTTTTGTGCGCATGTATGTAACACACAGAAGGAGGCGGCAGACCCCACAAAGGCTATATATTCTTGATCAGGGTGACAAGCCGATTCGATATAGCTATGTCCGTCCGTCAGTCTGTCTGTCCGTCTGTCTGTATGAACGCAAGGATCTCAGAAAGTATAAGAGCTAGAATAACTAAACTTGGTATCTAGATTCTCCTGAGGCCGAGAAAGGACAAGTTTGTTCATTTTTCCCGATGCACCCCCGCCCACTCCCACCCTATTCAAGATTTTCTATAACTCCCGTAATTCTTAAAATTTTAAACTAAAATTTGGTAGACACATCCAGTTAGTAATTATTAATTAATTAATTAAATTAAATTAATTTATTTTTTTGTGGGGTGGTATAGGGTATTTAAGAGTTCAGCCTGCTCGACTTTAGCATTCCTTTCTTGTTCTAAAATAGTGCAGGAGTTTGATGGCCAGAACATACCTATCGAGCGTTGGTTTTTC